CAATCCCTCTGGGTCTTCCCAGTGCACCAGGCCCGAGCACTTGTCTCATGCATCCAACCTGGGCTGGTGATCTGTTTCACTCTAGATAATATACATGTTTCGATGCTGTTCTCTCGAAACATCCCACCCTCGCCTTCTCCCACAGAGTCCAAAATTCTGTGTGGAGATTTCTTAAAAAGCTGGAAATAGAACTGCCATATGACCCAGCAATCCCACTACTGGGCATACACACCGAGGAAACCAGATCTGAAAGAGACACATGCACCCCAATGTTTATCGCAGCACTGTTTATAATAGCCAGGACATGGAAGCAACCTAGATGCCCATCAGCAGACGAATGGATGAGGAAGCTGTGGTACATATACACCATGGAATATTACTCAGCCATTAAAAAGAATTCATTTGAACCAGTTCTAATGAGATGGATGAAACTGGAGCCCATTATACAGAGTGAAGTAAGCCAGAAAGATAAAGACCAATACAGTATACTAATGCATATATATGGAATTTAGAAAGATGGTAACGATAACCCTATATGCAAAACAGAAAAAGAGACACAGATGTACAGACACTCTTCTAAATGTTTAGACTTGAACCTGTACTGAAATCACCTAAGAAGTTTAAAGGAGAGACTGCTGGGCCCCTCCTCCACAGTTTCTGAAACTAGATCTGGGTGGAACACAATAATGCTCACTTCTAACAAATTTCTAGATAATGCTGATGCTGCTGGCCCAGGAATCACACTTTGAAAAACGCTGATATAGGGTAATTATAAATGTTCTACAATAAAAATAACTCTTATCTTTCAATGACTGTTTTTCTCAATAATTACAGTGATCTTTATTGACATGTGCAGTTTATTTACAAAAAGTAATTTACTCACACGTCTTATCTCCAATTAAAATTATAGACAAATCAAATAGATGAAATGGGGAAATTTGTCCATTTCACTTTCTATCTTCCCATAAAAATGTTTGTAAATAAGTGTTTGAATAAAGATTTACATGTTTCAAATCCATTACACATTAAAACAGTTTAAAATATACATAAATAAATACGTGTAATAAAGGGTCCTTCCTTTGAAATGTCATTGATTCTACAGATTTTAAGATAACTGGCATCAATTTATTTTTTATTAGTTATATCTTATATTTTTATTTATTAATGTATTCAATTTTTAAATGTTTGAAAGCTTTTATGTTAAAGTCTGTCCAAATCCATTCTTAGAACATAAAAATAGGACTTCTGCCAAGGCCCAGGTTCACTGAGGCTACATCCAACTGAGGAAAACTGGTTTGGTCTGGAGTTAAAAATTCCTTCAGCAATGACAGTAGCTTTCTTAACAGTAAAACTGAGCAAACTCTATGCCCAGCATCTGCAGAAGCCTCCTTGGCGCTAACGGCATTTGTCCCGGGGAGACTTGGAGGAGGACTCCAGCTGGCACAGTTCTCTGCTGTCTCATAGAGAAAGCTCAGACAGGACGGCGGGACTATCTCAGGACTTCCTTATGCTAGGGCATCTCTTGATGCTGCCACTGGACAAAGCTCAATGGAATCTGCGCCAATTAATCTTTTACAAAGACAGAGAAATGAAGAAAGATAAGGAACACATGTCTGGTCATTTTTACAGAAAACTAGGAAAAAAGGGTCAGGAAGAAAAAAAGTAATAAAATCAGATTGTCCCTAGCTACTTCCTCAAACACCCACCCTCTCCCAGGATTATTTAAATATTCTGCCTCTAAGTTTCATCTTAACCCAACTATCCATTTCATTTGGTCTACAAAAAGCAAGGCTTTGAGATGAGTCACCTTTCCTCAGACTGGGGACCAGGGTAGCATCGTGATTCTGATGTGTCCAGTATATTCCTATTTACTACTTACTGGTTTTTTTTTAACTAAAATAACCTCACGGGAGTTAAAGATCTTTTATTCCTTTATCTTATTCTACCCCAAATAGGCTTCTTTCATACATTTTGAAAGACTAATAACAGAGGAACATTGGAGTGTACAACAGATGTAAGGGAACGTAGAAGGCCTCTGAAGGAGGACTCAAAGGCAGGTCTGAAGAGGGGTTTCACCACTTACTAGCATGGCTCATCTCTGAAATTCAGGTAATGCTACCTGTCATGAGGTTACTGTGAAGATTTCAAAATAAGTATATAAAGTATGTGAAAGTGTTAGCTGCTCAGTCATGTCCAACCCTTTGTGGTGCCATGGACTATAGTCTGCCAGACTCCTCTGTCCATGGGGTTCTCCAGGCAATAATAGTGGGGTGGGTAGCCATTCTCTTCTCCAGGGGATCTTCCCAACCCAGGGATCAAACCCAGGCCTCCCACACTACAGGCAGATTCTTTACCGTCTGAGCCAAGGGTGGCCACTTGTTCTTATGTGCTCAGAAGAGAGACGTTTCCTAGGATGTGAGCCTCGCAGTGCTAAAACCAAGACTGCTCTGAAAGACTGCAAGAGTTGGTCACTGAAACACCTCTCAGGCAAAAATAAATAAATATCAGGATGCCTTCCTCTGCCCTTCCAATTCTTGAGAAACATTTCACCAGATAAAATCTCTATCAATATTTATCAGTAGTTATCATTTTGCTACTAGGTGTTAACTACTTTACATGACCCGTAACCGTTGTTCTTTAAGTGAACACTTAGAGCTAAATACCATTTTAATTACTCCCATTTTGACAGATGCCAAAACTGAGAGTCAGAGCAGCTGAATGCCCTACTCAAAGTCACAGAGCTAAGACATGGAGCAACAAGCATGCAAATCCCAGCAGGCAAATTTCAAAATGTGCAGTCTGAACACATCCTCCTCCCTGCAGTCCTGCATCACCTGTGAAGTGAAGTCGCTCAGTCGTGTCCGACTCTTTGCGACCCCATGGGCTGTAGCCTACCAGGCTCCTCCGTCCGTGGGATTTTCCAGGCAGTAGTACTGGAGTGGACTGGAGCTTGTTAAAAATGCAGACTCTCAGCACCACACCCACCCTGGACTAACTGATCCACAATCTGTACTGAAACACTAATGCCTGAGACATTTACAGCTTAAATCGTGAGCTTTAGATAACATGAGCAAATTTCTTCATTCCATGCCCCTAATCTGTGAGGTCACAAATCTGAGGTCTAGAATCTCTAAAAGCCACATAGAGACATAGCAAAGGAAACTAAAGTTGAACTAAAGTAGAACTTGCATCTCCGGAAGCAGACCAATACACTAGGCACTCTTGAAACGGAAATAAAGCCAAGTAGTGCTTTCTTAAAGCATGGGCTTAGGGAGATTTCCCCAAAAAACACATCTGTTTAGAATAGGACCAAAACTAGACCTTTCTTCTGGTATAAGCGTATCAGGAATTGAAGAGAGCAAAGACCAAAATATCAGAGCACTTTGTAAAGGAACTTTGAGCTGATCTACTCTTTATGCTGTACAAGTTCTTGGCTTTCACATAAAACTGAAAATAGAAAGAAAATTCATAATTAGGAGCCTAGCTTCTGTTTGGCACAGATTTAGACTTTTGAATATAAATATAAATTAATAAGTATTTAATGTTCTTTTGAAAAACAGGAACTCAGCAGAGATAGTCTATCAAGCACTCTTACAGAAAGCTAAAAGCACAGCAATAAAATCTCATTCCAGGCTGAAAGCAGACACACGCAGTCAGAAGTGATGAAGCCATTATCACTTGCTAGATTAAAAACACTCAGTCTCAATAACAACTCAGACCCAGTTCAGAGCAACAGCTTCAGTCTATCAAAGTAAATATTTTATGTGCCAGAGTATGACGGGGACACAGTCTGTACCAAATTATGTGTTTAATTAGCTGTACTTCATCAGATGCCTTTATACCAAGGCCATCTCTTCCGTATGACATATTTCTTCCATATAAAAATGAATAAAATAGTCACTGAAAACAACTGCATTTAGGAGATAAGGCTATAACTCCACCTTCAAAATTCCTTGGCTTAAATCTAAAGATTTTTCTCACAGTGTTTCTTTTTAAAATAATTCATTAAATATCTTAGTTTTTCATTAATTTTAAACTGGACTTTTAAGGCTTTAGCTTCAGGTATCACATATTAGTCTGTATGAGAAAGGAACTGACATTTCTGGAGCTCCATCCCAGGCACTTTATATAATTTGATTTAATCTGCCAACAGTGTTATGAGACAGGCACAATCAACCACCGAATAAAGAGGGAAATCAAGACTCAGAGAATCTAAGAGAATTACCCATGGTTCCTGGTTTTCACTGGAGGGGCAGCATTAAGATTTGAATCCAAGTCTGAGCCTCAAGCACAATGCCTTCCAAAAGTGACCCGAAGATCTTGTGGTACATCCTTCAAGGCCTTTGGAGCTTGCAAGTGAACTGTTTCCTAACAAGTGAGAGTTCACAGACACCACAGGCTCACAAGGAATGACCAGACAAAGCGAAGGTTTAATGCTACTCCCAGGCTCCTTAGACCCTCGGCTTCATCCCACAATAGCCATGGAAGAGCAAATGGTTACAGTTCTTTCCTAGTGATGAAGAAGAGGGAAGCATGGCTCCAGACGGTACAGGTCCACCCAGGAGCTGGTCAGTGTCATCCACCAGGCCAGGGACAGCAATTTCCCCAGTAATCTGGCTGTCTCAAAGAGCAGGCCCCCAGGTTCTCCCTCATATGGGTCCCACTGAATCTATGACTCTTATTCAGACTTTCCATACACAAGTACCAAGCTTCTCCAAGTACACTGCTAAATAGGTCAGTCACCAACCTCCTTGGCAAACATACATTCAGACCTACATTCAAACCTCAATCCCACACCCAAGTTGCCTGCTCGTAGGGTCTATAGACTTCAACTAACTTACCAGACAATTTGGTGACCAGAGGGGAATAAGATCGAATTTTAAAATGGCATTTGCTTGGAAGGCCCAGGTTCCAAAAAAAATGTGTCCTAAGAGTCTTATCAACATCACTCCCCCAATTCAAAACCACTGCTCAGACCTGGGCCCCTTACGGAAATTTTCCTAAAGGGTCCAGCCTATGTGAGCAGTCTCCTTTGCAACTGCTCCCCGAGTGTGAGTCTGGTGCACCACCCCTTGTGCGGCGTTACTCCCGAGCATACAGCTGTACTCCTGGAAACCAGCTGCTACTGCAGACTCCTTTTTTCTCCCTGTAGGACCTAACACGTCCACGGCACAGTGAACGAAAAGACCAGTGCTGGCAGGCGACTTCAGCAGGGCCTCCAGGGAGGGCAATGCCTAGGTGGGGGGACCAGAGTTCAGAATGTGACATGCAGAAGTGTGATGAGGAGTGAACGGGCTCTGCTAAACAAACGCCACGCCAACCAGACTCACTGGGGTCTGACTTCTACAGTGAGATTGCCAAGTTATTCATTGACGGCAGGCCAATAGGGGTCTGGAGTGAACTAGGGAACGCAGAGTAGATACACTTAGGAGAAGCAAGCAGTATCCATCCCAAGCAGGTGATGCAGAGGCAGAAATGCAAACAAAAGCTGGGGGAATACATGTCGTAAGATCATGCTAAGTCTCAACTTTATGCATTTTAGCCTAGCAAGTATCGCAGAAAAAAACAAAACCAGCATAGCACCGCCCAGCAGCCATCATCCTGTCCTTGTCATCACTCTTTCCCTTCTTCAAAACAACAAGGGTGCTTCTGCTTTTCTCCCTCAGAAAAGCCTGGAAATTGGGGTGCAAGGGACAGTAAATGTCCCCAGGGGTGAGGCTAACGCCCCTAGACCACCTGCCTTCAGAGACGGCTTTCTAAGTATGTTCTCTATGCAGCCATGTCCTTGCCTCAGGCTCTGCTGTTAGGGGAACCCAAACTAAGAGGGAAATAAAGGCAGGAGAAATGGCCAAATCATCCAGAAGAGATGAAAGAGAGGCTGATGCAAATAATCCATGCACAACCCAGTATCACCCTTAAGGCCCTAAGGATCAATTTGTCAGAAGCTTTGCCAATTATGAATAGAAGTTGCTTAATTTCTAGGAACATGTGGTTCAACTGAGGAAATTAACAAAACTAGTTGTTTATTAGTCAAACAGAAAATGCTAAAGAAACTCCAGTGATGACACTATCACTGATAAAGGTGCTAAAGAGGTCGAGATTATGACACAGGTTATAAAAAGCAGCCTACCATCTGGGCTGCCACATAACCCTGAGCAGAGCTCCACGCACTATACAGTAGGTCCTTGTTGGTTATCCATTTTAAACACAGCAGTGTACATGTCCATCCCAAACTCCCTATCTATAACGTTGGGGGAGAATCGATACATGTACATGGATGGCTGAGTCCCTTTGCTCTTCACCTGAAACTATCACAACATCATTAATCAGCTGTACCCCAAAACAAAACAAAAAATTTAAAACAAAAAAAGGAGCCCAAACCTATAAAGCTATGCATAATTGCCAATAACTGTATTTGTTACGGGAATGCAAAGCTGTTGTTATACTTAACTTTTAATAGACTTTATTCTTTAGAGCAAATTTAGATTCACACCAAAATTGGGCAGAAAACACAGAACATTCCGATATAACTCCTGCCCCCACACATGCAGAGCCTCCCTCATCAATACCCTGCACTGGGGTCATATTTATGACAACCAGTGAACCAACACTGACACATCTCTGCCACTCAAAGTCCTCATTTACATTAGGGTTCACCCTTGTTGTACATTCCACAGATTTCATATTTAATTGCAAACTGCAAAATGATAATGACAAAAATAAGCTCTTCCCCCAAAATGTTATGATAATGTGCTCAAGAAACATGAATGGTTTGCCAATGAGCTAGCTCAAAGTCCTCTGAACAGATTTATCCAGAAAATCTACCCAACCCATCAATTAGGTTAGTTCTTGAGATATTGCAGAAATGTGTATTAAGATGGGTAAAGAATAAGCTCATTGAGAAGGACAGAATCTCATGGCTATTCCCAGTGGCCAACCTGAACCACTGCAAATCCTCACAGACCATTCAAGTACTCTTTGAGGATATAATAGAAAATGAGTTGACACAAAATCAAGATTAACTCCAACCAGGACGGCAGAGCAGGTGTTCGCAGCTTGGAAGGAAAAAGACAGGAGACAATGATGGAGCAGTCTTTTAAGAAATGATCTGTCACCAATGCTGATGGGTGGAAAAACACAGACACTGGGGCCTCTAAATGGAGAAAAATGATTCAGAAGAGCAAAATTCTGAATATGAGGTTATTTTAGGAATAACCGCAAATTGACAGTGCTCATATTTGCATCTTTATGTATGTACAGCTGCGATATATGTTTTTTAGCACACATATTTTTGAGAGCTGTCCAAATAAGTCTAAGAGTCTTTTTCCCAAAGTGTGGAATAAAAATCCTCAGAATTAAAAACTTTTAGCTTTTTAATGGTAGCTTTTTTCTTTCTTAGTGACACCATGGATGGCATCTTACTTCAGTAAAATATGATACGTGCTTACAAAATCAGGAAGCCACCACTGCTTTCAGAAGTGAGAAGACTTAAGCATCATGGAAACACCTCTGCTGATGGCCCATCTCAGCTGCGGCCAGCACCAAAGCAAGTGACTGGGAAAAGTGGCCAGAATTCAAAGCAAACTTCATGCTCTTTGCCGTTTACCTGACCACCTGCTGACAATGTCTTCAAATTTTCAACACTGGCTATCCCAATTCAGCGTTTCTCATTAACAGAATCTAACCCAGTAGGCTAGGGGTTTCAGAAAATATTGCTCTTAGGTACTATGGTCTGAAATGTGTCCCCCGGCAATTTACATGTTAACAGCCTAACCCCCAATGTGATGGTACTTAGAGACAGTCCCCTTGGGAAATAACTGGATTTAATAAAAAGGGTCATTAGGGTGGGCCCCCCATCCTGGAATTGGTGCTCCTATAAGAAGACGCCAGAGAGCGTGCTGCCTTTCTCTAACCACCACATAAGGTCACCGTGAAAAGGCAGCGAGCCAAGCAGAGCGCTCTTACCAGAACCCAACCATGCCGGCACCCTGATCTCAGGTTCCCGGCCTCCAGGACTGTGAGAAATAGATGTCTGTTGCTTAAGCTGGCCAGTCTACAGTATTTTGTTACAGCAGCCGAAGCAAATTAATATGCTAGGCTTCTCCCCTGAAATGCAGTGCAATCGGCACCTTTAATATAAGGGCCGGGGTGATGGTGAGTTGACAACAGACAATCTACACAGCTGCTTTGAGGTTTATGATATACAAGATTATCACTCTCAATTCTTCACTCACTTCCTAATAAGGTTACACGTCCTCACTCTTTGCCATGTGACTTTTCACTGCCTCCCACTGCAAGCAGAGTATATACCCCAGCCCATTACAGTTGGGCTCGGCCAAGTGATTTGCGTACAAAGACAGAACATGAGCAAATGTGATGCAAGCAGGAGTTTTAAATAAGTCTGCATGGTGTGGCCTGCTGACTTATATTTCTGAGGTCTGCAATGAGAACAGCATGCCCCAGACAGACACTGGTTCTGGGGAAGCAGACAGGACCCCAACCCACAGACTTGAGCCAACCGAAGCAACAGAAAACCTAGGGAGAAAAGGAATGTTTATTATTGTAAATCCCCAAGTTTTTGACATTGTTATGCAGCAAAAATGAATGCAGGGGTTAAATACAGAGTATCTAAAATAGTGCTTACCACATATTAACCATAATTATTCCAGGAATCCTTTAAATTATAATGAACAATAAAAATGTAAGCAAGATATTCAGAGTCTCTGTTTAAAGAAAATAGCAGGTATGAGTAGCAGGCCTTCACTGTGTAAAAATGGTACCTTTTTGCATTTTTCTAGGTCAAATTAAATCTAGTTTGAATACTAGGCTTCAGAGCTGGAAAGAAGCCTAACAGTTGTTCTTTTCAATTCCCAACCCTTTCTTACATGACACAAAACCCCAGGACTTATATGGTTCTAAACAGAGGGGGAGAGGCATAATTCAGACAACTTCTGGAAGTAACACTGACTTCAAAAAATATTTTCTACATTTCTGGGAGACCTAAGACTTCAAACTATATGAGTAATCCGTGCTCACTATATTGGCAGAATTTGAGGGAGTAAACATCACCCATTGTCTTAATTTATACTTATATTCCTAATTACTTAAATTAGAATTAGAATTAAGAGGATTTTACAGGGCCATTTGGAAGTAATAGTGGTTTTAAAAAAAAGAGAAGATGGTCTATCACCATTTTAATTTAATGTATCCTTAAAAAATGTAATCAGAGTAGTGTAAAAAAGACAGAAGAGGATTTGTCTTAAGTGATATACAACTAAGTCCATGCATATGCAATTAAGTATACATCAGAATAAGTGTATAGAAAACCATTCAAAGAATAGCATCATTCTTTGAAGGGCAATTTGGCGATACTTATCAAGAGCCATAAAGCTTTTACATCTATGGACCTTATAATCTCATTCTTAAAATAAATCTAAACCAATAAATCAAAAGAAAAAGATTTTTAAAGATGTTATACTTATCTCTAGTAGTAAGAAGTAAAAATAACCTAAATACACTCAAAAAATAATGTAATCATAAACACAGCTTTAATAAATTTTAGTATATAATTTTTAGAATATTATGCACCATTTTAAGAATAAACACTAGAACCATTAAAATAAAAAGAATAAAGCAAAAGAAGTACACTCAATACAATAAGGTAAAAAAAGTTTGCAGGATTAAAAAAATGTTATTGTATGTGGCTAAAGATGGGGGATGGAACACAGACAAAGAGCTTTGGTATAGCATTTGATATTCTATGTATATATTCTAAACACTTTGTAAAAATAAAATCATGAGACAAAACTATATGTTACTTTGTGCTGAGAAAAAAAAAAATGTTGGCCCCTAAAAACAAAAGCAAAGGGCGGTGGATCCATTTCCAGGTCCTACTAGGAAAGTGAGCAGGCAGTTATTGGATCTCACACCCAAGATCAACCAAAGACACCAAAAAGATATAAGAAAGCCTTGACATAAAAGACAGAAGGCTGTTCTGAATCACGGCAAGACAGAGGAGTGGCCTCAGCCAGCACAAGGGGCAGCCGGTAAAATGCGGAAAACGCGCTCGTGGGCCAAGGAGCACCTGCCCGCCACCTGCAGCAACCCAGACTTGGCCCACGTGTTCCTCCCGCCAAGGTGAAATCGAAGGCAAGGCCGCCGTGACACGGTGTAAAAAAAAGAATAAGTAATGACTTTCGGAAGTTGTTACATTTAAGAAAGATCCCCCAAAGAG